GGACTAACAAGCTCGCAGCTTGTTGAATGTGACATGTAGCCAATCAGAAAGTGAGGTGACAGAAACTCTAAACTCTAAGTGGAATCCACAATACAGAAGACAAAACAACTGCCATGGAGCACCAGCAGGTTGACTGGACGTCGGAGACATTCTTTTTTCTTTTCTCTATTTAAAATGGTCCACAAGCTTCCTCGTCGGCCATGTTTATTTACTCTGAACTCACTGATCTCGAGAGGTCTCACGAGATTTCCCGCCTCATGAGTGAAATCTGTTTGTGTGTGATGTGTCGTCTAAACAAACCTGTTATTTATAATTTCTTTATCTTCCTGTGTGGGTTCTCTCAGTCTTTGGAAATCAACCAACAATTTTAAAATCTTGCCGTGTGAACCAGACATAAGCTTAACGTGTAGATTAACCTGGAACTACTTGCCCTTAATGACTCTTCATTGTAAAGGCTCTGCCACACTAAAATGTTTTAGACAACTTGTGAAAAATTTGTTACGACTATTTTATTCATATAGGCTATATATTTGATCTAAATGTTAGCATTACAGTATGTAAAGGTCCAGAAGAGGCTTCCAGTAGAGTTTTTTTTTATTCTATCTTCAGCTTAGACACCTTTAGTCTCAGACAATCTTTTTATAAGTTGTCTAAAATGTTATCGTGTGACACTAACGAGGCCTCTCAGGCGAGTCTATAAAACTTTTAGACCTCCACACTTCAGAGAAGTGAATCAAACAAGTCTTCTGCTTCAGAAAAGAAGTCCAGTTGTTTAGATTTTAAACTTTTTTTTTTTGATTATTCACCAGCTTCGGTCACACCCAGCTGTGGAACACTGTCCCATTCTTCAACCAACATTGGTTACAAGTCAGCCATTGGGTTTTGTCATCTAATTTCCCTCTGAGATCAATAAAGTATTTTTGAATTGAATTGAATTGTGTTGGTCACTCTGGAATGAACAACATTCCCAAAGAGTTTAGGAGTTTAGAGTAAGTGTTGTCATCTTGGTATGAGTTGAGTTCACCACTGGTTGCTTACACGACCCAGGAGCTAAAAAAAAAAAAAAGAACCAATAAAATCATCTGTTTGGTAAAGAAGATTCTTCATGGGTACAACCCACATACTCAACACAAAAGCATTTTCCTGGAACGTGTCAAACTCAAATCTGGCCCTCTTTAACATTTTATCCGAGACAAAAGATAATCCTTTAAATGTGAAATAGTTTTATGCTTTCTCATTTTGTCACTGTATTTAATACATTCTTCTCATGACAGCTGGACGACTTTCAAGCCAAGAAAATGAAGTTTGAATTTTTCAGTGATCTTTGATTTTGGTGTTGAAAGAAGAACAGAGAATCAATTTTAATGATCTTTTCTGTATTCTCTCATTTTATAGTCAAATAATTGGATTTTTAGTGAGGTTTTTCTATTTTTTAACTGATGTGCTGGATTGTGATTATATATCTAATAAATGAAAAAGTTGTTGATAGAGGCATATAAAATGAATGCTAATGATGAGTCTTTCTAAATGTAATCTTTTTTATTTATCCCTTTTTTCATATGTTCTAAACACTACATAAAACATAATTTGGAAAAGGTCATTTGTATTACTAGAAGAATTATTTAACATTTTTTCAATAAATATTGACAGAAATTGGGCCTTGACTTTGGATTTAAATGTGAATTTTGGCTCTCTTGTGTAGCTGAGTTTGATTCAGGGGAAATAAGCCAACCTCCCTACAGAATAAGAAGCACTGTTCCAACAAATAAAAAACCAATCAGAAACACATGTTCGTACTTTTTGTGCGATGTTTTTAAGGCCACATAAGGCAAAGAAAATGCCAGCACAGATTCCTGAGTCCCTCTTCGACTTGTTGCTTTCATCTCTCGGAGCCACATGTGGGGGATCAGTGAGACTATCGCTCAGGTCTCAGAAGTGCTTCATTATCACATCACCCCTCCTCCTCCCTCCTCTTTCATGTTCCTGCTGCTTTATCTTCCCCAGCATTGATTCAGCCCTCAAACAACACCAGTGTCCACGGATTGAGTTCTGATTTGAGGAGGTTTTTTAATTTTATTTTTTGCTGATTTGGTTTCTTTGTGTACCTTTTCGGTGTCTGGAGATGAGCCTCTGGTTTTGAGGAGATGCTCGGCGGGAGCAGCGGTCCCCTGGTGTCACCTCCCAGGCTCTCTCAGGGGTCAGAACAGGACTTGCTCACATTCAGATCCTGACCTGACTTAAGATAGGAGAAAAGAAAAAAAAAAACATGCTTCGTTACTTTATCAAAAAAAAAAAAAATTTTTCCTCTGCTTTTTAAATGTTCTGATTTATGATGAAATATTGATGGGTGTTTCAATAAAGACACGTTGTCACTGCGGTGGAGATAACTCTCATGTTTTTTTTCTCGGGTTACATCAGTCACGATCTGATTGAACCTCCCCATTGCCTTGTCAGAGAGTAAACATGAAAAGAAGGGAGAAATTTGATTGCCTGCGTCGAGGCTTTAAATATTCCGAGCGGCTGTCAGAGCCGGGCTTCTGCGAAATACGAAGGATTGCAATTTTATTTTTGTTTTTTTATGCCCCGTCTTCTTATTCGTTCAAAATAACAGCAATTTTAGAAGCGCCGCACTAATGCGTTCCTAATTTGAATTAGTTTAAAAGCAGCGTAGGAAGAGGAGCCAGCTTCAAAGCTTCCTGTTGAGACTTTATGAGACACTTTTTACCAGAGTAATGAAAAATTAGCTTGAAAATGTATTCTGTAAGCGTAGTCAATTAACATATATTGTCCTCGAATAAATGTTTCCAGGAGATAAAAAGCCCTCATTGTTTCTCCTTTAATTTCTGTGGTGGGGGGGAAGCTTTTGCAGGGAGGATCTAATAAATCCAGAGGCACATATGGGAATGTATGGTGCTGATCTTCGTGGGCTTACAGAGATATAAAGTCTGGAGGGATTTATTCATCATTATGTTAAGCCAAGAGGAAGTCCGTATTCTAGATTGTCCTCACTTTGTTTGATGCAAGAGTTGCACGTAAAAGCTGAAGCCTCATCGTTTAGCAGCGATGTTTGACATCTGGAAATCGGAATTTCAGCAACTCGTTTGGAAAAGCTCAGTTACATTACAGTCCAAACAAACTCCCACTTTTTTTTCTTCTGGTATGAAAGCATCTTGATGGCTGTGATTTCTTGTTTTGTAGCCTGGTGGAAAAGATTGTCACTTTTTTTTTATTTTTTTCAAGACGATTGTTCCGTTGAGTTATAAGTCTCTGCAGCACAATAGTTCTTTGTTTGCCCATCAGTTTGCTCCATCTGTGGGGCTCTGAGCTGTCATCCAGATCCTGAACACACATCACTGCTGTTTACCACCTGACACCAGCAGAAATATGTCCCGTCAACTCCTTCCTCACAGTAAAAAACATACACACACACACACACACACACACACACACACACACACACACACACACACACACACACACACACACACACACACCATTAGTC